AGGAGGAGGAGGAGGAGGAGGAGGAGGAGGAGGAGAAGAAGAAGAAGAAGAAGAAGAAGAAGAAGAAGAAGAAGAAGAAGAAGAAGAAGAAGAAGAAGAAGAAGAAGAAGAAGAAGAAGAAGAAGAAGAAGAAGAAGAAGGTCCAGTTGCCTTTTAGAGAAAGCACCTTTGGGGTAACCATGGTCTGGGTGATCGAGCACCTCCATAGAAGGGTGGCCCAAACGCTACCAAATTCTCCCAGTATTTTTTCCAGCAAGAATACAGACCATCGGGTAGGATTTCTCACACTTAAAATAGTCTTTCCACTTCAAAATAGGATCAGCTACACTGGGCAATCTTCAGTTTGGGGTCCGTTTTTTTAACCTTCACCCAAACGTCCCTTGAGGGTGGTACGATGGCTTAGAGGAGGAGCTCTCGCCTCACAATCAGGAGGCTGTGAGTTCGATCCGAGGTAGAGGCAGATATTTCTCTCTCTGAGCACACTGAAAATATATCTGCTGGAAAAAAACTCCTCATCGGCAACAGGAAGGGCACTCGTCCAGTAAACACTCAGCTGCATTTAGTTGGCCAGACTCCACCCAGCAAGGGATTATGGGGTTGTTAAAAGAGGATGCTCCGAACGCCTCTTGAGGAAGGACCTACTCGGTGTCCCAAAGGGGCTTTTTAAAAAAGACTTCGTTTTTGCTTGAAGAGGTTTTACTTCTCATCCAAGAAGCTTCTTCAGTTCTGAGTTGAAGATGCTTGTTGGATGAGAACTGAAGAAGCTTCTTGGATGAGAAACAAAATATCTTCAAGAACAAAAAAAGAAAGAAAGCCCAGTTGCCTTTTGGAAAAAGCACCTTCGGGGACAACCATGTCCTGGAGGACTGAGAATCTCCATAGAAACTTACCCAAGAGGCTGATCGAGGATATTTTTAGGGGCAAACTAAACCAAAACATGTCCTTGTAATAAAATCGCTATTCAATCCACTCCGCATGGTAGAGATTCTGGGTCAGAAGAAGTAAATGAAGCTGGAAATATCAAGAACCAGGTAGGAGAAAAAACCTTGAGGAATATCCTTGGGGAAACCAAAAGTATTCCTGGCACCTTTTCCCACCAGCAAAGAAATGTAAGGAGACGAGTTCTCTTCCAAAAAGATGACTCAAATTACTTTCTCCTCTTTGACATTATCCTGGAATTACAGTAAAAACATTGAAGGATTGAGGAAGGAGGTAAGTTTGGCTTTGGGTGTTAAAACAGTTCTGGCTGCCTAGGCTGATAGGAGTTGTAGTCCAGTGATCTGAAGGGTATCAGGGTGGTTAACACTTCACCAGAATTAGTATCTCTTTGGGAAGTGAAAAAGGAGGAAGGTCCTAGTTCCTTCTCAAAAGGTTCTTGAAAGCTTCTCCATCTTGTCCTCCTCATCCTGCTCCTCCTCTTCCTCCTTCCCACCTTTCCTCCTTTCCTTCCTCCTCTTCTTCTTCTCTTTCTCCCTCTTCCTCCTCCACCTCCCTTTCCACCATTCTTTCTTCTCCTTCTCCTCTTCTTCCTCTCTTCCACCATTCCTTCTCCTCCTTTCTTTTCCACCATTCCTTCCTCTTCTCCTTCTTCTCTTCATCCTCTTCCACCTCTTCTCCTTCTCTTCTTTCTCACTTCCCCTGTTCCTTCCTTTCCTCGTTTTCCTTCCTCTTTCCTTCCTTCCTTTCCACCATTCCTTCCTCTTCTCCTTCTCTTCTTCCTCTCTTCCACCATTCCTTCCTCTCCTCCTCTTCCTTCTCCACCATTCCTTCCTCTTCTCCTTCTTCTCTTTGTCTCTTCCTCTTCCACCTCCCTTTTCACCATTTTTTCCTCCTCCTTCTCCTCTTCTTCCTCCTTCCTTCTCGTTCCTTCCTCTCCTCCTCCTCGTTTTCCACCATTCCTTCCTCTCCTCCTCCTTCTCCTCCTCCTTCTTTCTTTCCACCATTCTTTTCTCTCCTCTTCCTGCTCCTGCTCCTCCTCCTCCTATGCTTCCTCTTCTTTCTCTTCCTCTTCCTTGCCCCAATCCAGATATTCTCTCATCTTTCATTGCAAGGGCAATTAATGTGGAGGTAGTTTCCGTTAAGTGGCTTTATTACTGGTTAGAATGGTTTTTTTTTTCTTTTTTCTTTTTGTACAAATTTTGATAGCGGAACAGACACTTCTTTTGAGTTTCAATCCTAAGACATCAGAATGACCAGTGAAAGGGTTTAGGACTTAATGTAAAGTAGCAAAACTCGTATTAACATTTTCACTTCTCTCCCCCCCCGCCCCCTCCCACCCATCCACCCCCTTTTGTGTGTGTGTGTGTGTGTGTGTGTGTGTAGTTTGCGTGGTCTGGGATGTTGTCATAAATATACAGAGAGGGGGGAAGGGGGGGGCTGGGGTAGGAGAAAAGGGACGGAGAGTAAATAAGGCACGTGGCAGTCTCTGAAAAAAATTACACAAGCTTCAGCCAACTTAAATTAATTGCCATTTCCCTGGCCCAGTCCATAAAACTGTACATTGACACAAATGTTGTGTGGGCAGTTGTATATTCCAAGTCACACTCCTCTAATCCACGCTGGCTTTCAGACCCGGCTGGAGTTATCCCACTAAACCACAGAGCTCCAACCCAGCGGTGAGAACGTCCCAAGTTTCTTTTTTTCTTTCTTTCTTTTTTTTTTAAAAAAAAATCCATTTGGAATTGGACTAAGAATAATTTCTTTCCTTAAAAAGAAGACATCCCCCTCCCCTTCCTCCCCCTGCACCCGCCCCCTCCCCGGGAATCCGAGTGGTCATCAGAAGAGGTTGGTCAGTGTCGTCTGTGAAGGGCTGCGGGATTCGTGGACGTCCAAGCTGCCGGAGACGGAGCTCAAGACCGAAGTCACGGAAGGCATGCTAGGGTTCGTCAGGTCTGTGAGGGTGGTGGGAGTCCTGGAGGGGCTCAGGGAGGTGTTGGAGATCTCCGACGCTGGACCGGATGGGGTGCCGGCCTGGAGGGCTGGATCAGAGGCCTTGTCCACTCCCGTGTTCTCCTGGCGTAAGAGGTTCCGTCGGAATTTGGCTCGGGCGTTCTGGAACCAGACCTAGAAGCGTTGCGTGGGAAGGAAGGAAGGAAGGAAGGAAGGAAGGAAGGAAGGAAGGAAGGA